ATCCCACTTGATCGTGGTGAATAATCTTTTTAATGTATTGCTGGATGCGGCTTGCCAACATTTTGTTGAGGATTTTAGCATCTATGTTCATCAGCGAAATTGGCCTGTAGTTTTCTTTCTTTGTAGGGTCTTTATCTGGTTTTGGGATCAGGGTGATGCTGGCCTAATAGAAAGAGTCTGGGAGTCTTCCCTCCTCTTGGATTTTTTGGAATAGTCTGAGAAGGACAGGGGTTAGCTCTTCCTTAAATGTTTTGTAAAATTCTCCTGGGAAACCGTCCAGCCCTGGGCTTTTGTGTGTCAGGTGTTTCTTGATTACTGCTTCAATTTCCCCAGCTGTTATCGGTCTGTTCAAGCTTTGTTTTTTCCTCCTTCAGTGTTGGGAGATTATACTTTTCTAAAACTTTGTCCATTTCATGAAGATTTTCAAATTTCTTGGCATATAATTGTTCATAGTAGTTTCTGACAATCCTTTGTATTTCTGTGGTATCAGTTGTTATTTCTCCTCTTTCATTTCTGATATTATTAATTTGGGTCCTCTCCCTTTTTGTCTTGATGAGTCTGCTTAAAGGCTTGTCACTTTTATTTATCTTTTCAAAGAACCAGCTTCTGGATTGGTTGATCCTTTGAATTGTTCTTTTTGTCTCTATGTCATTCAGTTCTGCTCTAATCTTGACTATTTCCTTCCTTCTACTTGCTCTGGGAATTATTTGTTGTTGTTTCTCCAATTCTTGAAGTTGTAGTGTTAGGTCTTTTATTTGAAATGTTTCTGTCTTTTTTAGGTAAGCCAGTATTGCTATGAACTTCCCTCTCAGGACCGCCTTTGCTGTGTCCCATAGGTTTTGGACTGTTGTCTGTTCATTTTTATTTGTTTCCAGAAATTTTTTGATTTCTTCTCTTATCTCATTATTGACCCATTCATTGTTTAATAGTGTACTGTTCAGTCTCCATGAGTTTGCAAGTTTTTGAAGTTTCTCTTTGAAGTTGATTTCGAGTTTCAAGACCTTGTGGTCCGAGAAAAAGTTTGGTATTCTTTCAATTTTCCTGAATTTGCTGAGGCTTGCTTTGTGTCCTATCATGTGGACTATCTTTGAAAAATTTCCATGAGCATTTGAAAAGAATGTGTATTTTTCTTCTTTGGGATGTAAGGTTCTATATATGTCAGTTAAGTCTCTTTGACTCAGTGTGTCATTCAGCACCACAATATATTTATTAATGTTTTGTTTGGAAGATCTGTCCATATTTGACAGTGGGGTGTTGAAATCCCCTACTATCAGTGTGTTGCTGTCTATATCTTTTTTGAAGTCATCCAACAATTTCCTTATAAACTTGGGGGCTCCTATATTGGGAGCATATAAGTTTATAATGTTGATGTCTTCTTGATAGATTCTTCCTTTAAGTATGATAAAGTGCCCCTCTGGGTCTCTCTTTATGGCCTTTGTTTTGAAATCTGCTTTGTCTGATACAAGTATGGGAACGCCAGCCTTTTTCTCATGCCCATTTGCTTGGAATATTTTTTTCCATCCGTTTACTTTCAATCTGTGTAGGTCTCTTGCTCTGAGGTGGGTCTCTTGTAGGCAGCATATGTGTGGGTCATGTTTTCCTATCCATTCAGCTATCCTATGTCTTTTGATTAGGGCATTTAGTCCATTCACATTGAGAGATATTACTGATAGAAACTTACTCATCTTTTCTCTTTGTACCTGTGTTCCTCTCTGTCTCATTCTTTTCCTTCATCTGCTTAAACCAGTCCCCTTAGCATATCTTGGAGTGCTGGTTTGGTAGAGATGTATTCTTTTTGTCTCTATGTCATTCAGTTCTGCTCTAATCTTGACTATTTCCTTCCTCTACTTGCTCTGGGATTTATTTGCGGCTTGCCAATAAATAATAGTCTTGTCTTGTCTTGTCTTGTCTGGGAAAGTCTGTATTTCCCCTTGTATTTTAATGGAGAGCCTAGCTGGGTAGAGCAGCCTTGGCTGTAGGCCCTTTTTTTTCATGGCTTGGTATATTTGTTGCCATTCCCTTCTGGCTTGTAGTGTTTCTGTTGAGGAGTCAGCTCCTAGGTGTATCGGGGCCCCCTTGTATGTTACTTTCTCCTTCTCCCTTGCTGCCTTGAGGAGTCTCTCTTTGTCTTTGACATTTGCCATTTTAATGATGATGTGTCTTGGAGTGGACCTCTTTGAGTCCCTCTTGAGTGGGGTCCTCTGTGCCTCCTGGATCCATGAGAGCCTTTCTCTCCTCAAATTAGGGAAATTTTCCATCATTACTTTTTCGAGGAGGTTCTCTATCCCTTGCTCCTCTTCTTCTCCTTCTGGGATCCCTATTATACGGATATTATTGCGTTTCAGGTTGTCCTGCATTTCCCTAAATGCCTCTTCATTCTTTTTCAGCCGGTTTTCCATTTCTTGTTCTTTCTGGGAGCTTCTTTCTACCTTGTCCTCCACCTCACTGATTCGATCCTCGGCTTCATCCAGCCTGCTTTGGATCCCTTCTATTGTGTTCTTCAATTCAGAAATGGTATTCTTCATATCCTCTTGTGTCTTCTTGATAGTTTCTATGTCCTTTTCCAGGCTGATATAGTTTGCTGTAAAATCCTGATAGTTTCTCTGCAGTTTCTCATAGTTCTCTGTGAGCTGGCTGAGCTCATTGAGCTTCCTTAGAACCATTGTTTTGAATTCAGTATCTGATAGTTCCCTTGCCTCTATTTCATTTAGCTCTCTCTGTGGGGAGCCCCCTTTTCCACTCATTTGGGGGGAACTTCTTTTTCTTCCCATTTTTGTGAGAGTCTGTTAAGTATTTTTGTCCTTTACTTTTCTTTCTGGGCCTGTCTCTGATGATGTCAGTTGTCGACCCTATAGGACCTTGGGTTTTTGTTTGAGCCTTCCAGGAGTCTAATGCCTGTGTCTGACTCCTGCTTGGAGCAGCTCTGTGACCCCTTCGGTCAGGGCTGGGCTATTTTTTGGGATCTCTCTGCGCTCTCACGCGGGGTCCTTGAGCACGCTCCCAGTGCGGCAAGGATCCCCCGCCTGCCTAGGCTTGCATGTGCTTGCCCAGACCAGGGGGCTTATTCGCGACCTCACGTACTCATCTGGCCCCCCTGGCCAGTGAGCTCCACGGCACTGGTTAGTTTAGGGTCTTCTATTGTGTATTTTCCTCACTTTTGGCTCTTTGGGTGCATTTCTTGCCCTCGCCAAATGGGGACTACGGAAATGGAAGTCAGCTCCAGGACTCCCCGGTTAATCCTGTCTCTGGTCTCTCCTCCATGGACTCTGGGCAGCTCTACTAATTTTGTGGGCCGCTTCGCAATCACGGGCGGGTGGGTCAATTTAAGCCTGCCCTTGAAGCTCTGTGCACTCCCTTGCAGGCCGTATTGGTGCCAATCTGTGGGAGGCCTTGCCGGCCAGTGCAAGCATTCACCAGCCCGCGGGGGTCACACACACGCTTGCCAACCCTCGCCGGTCACTCAGCGCAAGTGTGCGCGCCTGCACTGGGTGTTTTGGGGGTGTCTATGTGTGCTTTTTGGCTTTTCGCTCTTTGGGGGTGTGGCTTCTTCCCGCGCAATGGAGACTACAGCAAGGAGAAGGAGTCGGGACTCCCCGGTTCCTCCTCCCGTTCTTTCCCCAATGCCTCCATTTCCAGACTTTCCTCAGGGGCCTCCGGGCAGTTCCCTGACCCCTTCAGCCAAGGATCCACCCCCTGTGCGGACTGTGTTTCAATCGCAGGCAGTCTGGTTCATGCGCGCCCCGCTTCTGCCTCTTGGGGACGCGCCTTTCCAGCCCACAGTGGAGACTACAGAACGGGGAGGGAGTCGGGACTTCCTGGTTCCTCTTCCCATTCTTTCCCCAATGCCTGTCTCCAGTCTCTCCTCTAGGCTCTCCCAGCCAGTCTGCACTCAGCCCTGCAGCTCACACACGTACAAGCTGTGTGCGGAGCGCACAAAAGGCAGGTTAATTGATTCCCTTATGCCTGAGCGAGATGGTAGCTGCAGAGTGGGAGGTGCGTTATCACCCGGGCTCCACCAGCCGCCGTGTCAGTTCTCTTCACAAAGTTTTCCTCACCAGTCTTTTCCCAGGCACCAGCCCACCCTGCTGCCGCCTCTACCCAGAGATCAAGGAGGGTGGCTGCCACTGCAACTTTTGCGTTTGCCCTTTAAATGTCTCTCTGCATCCCCAGCCACCTGTCTCTGTCAGAGAGTGCCCCTAACCTTTTTTGGGGTTGCGTTTTTTCTGTATTTTCTTGGCTTTAGCTGCTCTAGTTTAGGGGTTCCTGTTTATGATTCAGACCCCGTTCTTCTCGGGGGACGCTAACTGGCCATTTCAATGTCCCTCTGGTGCCAGTGCCCGTGGGCACCAAGCCCACCCTCTCGAGCCTCCACAGCACTTCTCACCCGTTGGGATGTGTGAGAGTAGAATCCACTGTCTGTGGCACCAAGGCTCCTCTCCCACTATCGTTCCACTGCTTTCCAGGTGATTACTCCATTATTTAGTTGAAATTCCAGTTTGGTTTTGGGAGGAGCTCAGTGTGACTCCCATTCATTCCTCCGCCATTTTCCTCTGGGTATTGTATTTTTAAAGCTATCATTTTAATTTACTATGTCAAAATTGATAATAACCATGTTATATATTTTTATGTTGGAAAGCCAACAAAGTGAACTTCAGTGCAATTAAATACAGAATATACTTTAAGTTTCTCACAAATGTTTTGATTTTTCCAAGGGAAAATTTTTCTGTTTCATCATGCAGAGATTAATTTCAACATTTATAAAAATTTGGTCTGAAAGTAAATAAGCCTCACATTGCTTTGACACCAGGAATAATTCAGTGCAAAGATGGAAAAAATGTATGCTATGTAAGAAAATGTTGAGAACCCCTTGTCAGAACGATTGTCATTCTGTGATTTCAGGGTATGAGCACTTCTGGAGGTGGATGCAAGGTTAACAAGGTAGACCCAAAGGCATTTTGTGGCAACTACAGTGGCGAGAGGGAAACCAACACTCCATGAACATGAGCCTCAAATCCCCGATGTCTGCTCCTCAGTTTGAGAGCAAAAGCATCCATAGCATGGCTAGAATGGAAAGTTGTTTTCTAGTCAGGCACACCCCTCATCCCAGAAGGGTCTGTCACATTAAAGGTAAGGTAACTCAAGGTCCTAGGATATGTCTCTCTTTTCTACACCTGGGGTGATTCTGGTGGGTAAACCCGGGGGTGCTATTCACTGTTTAACCACTGCTGAGGCACAGGTATTGACTGCTGAGACCAGATGCCAGCACTGGAGCCAAAGCAGAGGCCAGTAGGCAGGCACCCTGTGTGCCGGGCACTCATACTTGGAATGCTCGCTTGTTAGGAAAGGGACTGGAGAGGTGCCAAAGGGGCAACTCAAGGGGTTCAGGGCAGCAATGACCGAATGGTATGAATGTATTTCTATATTTTAGCAACCTGCACAGCCATGCTAGCATCTACATGCTAAATACTGGCCCTAGAGAAGCATATATTTTACCCCTCTTCTCTCTTCCTGCCTCTCTCCCTTCTTAACTCTCTCTCTTCCTTCATCCCTTTCTTCTCCCATCTTTCATTCTCTCCTTCTCTTCCTTTTGCATTTTAAAATTTAGTTTCTGTAACACCACTTATTCCTGTTTTTTTCTCCTACCTTTGTGGTTTCTCATTCCCAGCTTTTATTTTTGCCGATTCTGCAGTAAATGTTAGTCTCTGACAGCTCAGGCCTCAGCCATTTTCTCTCTTTAGTCTACTGTGACCCTAGTCAAATTTACCCATTCACAAGTTTCAGGTACCCTCCAAAGGACAAATAAGTTTCATAGGTGTGTTGTAGACTCAGACTCCTTTTCTCAACTTTAGATATCTACATCCAACTGTCTATTTGACCTATGTGCAAAGCACTGGATGCTGCATGAGCACCTTGAGTTTTGCTCTTTGAAAGTGAACTTGCTGCTCTTCTCTTTTTCTTTTCAGTTCCAGCTATTATGATTTCCGGAATTAGCAGGCATATCCTCAAAAGATTTCCGAAGAAAATTTTCTATTCATTTGAACATATATTTCTGTGAACATATATTACTCTAAGCAAGGCCTTGTGGTACAGGCATTGTAGGAGACTGAGGACATGTCAGTCCCTTGCCAGCAGTTTTATTATTTCATCATAGATATAATTCAAGGAAGAATGTGAAGTAACATATAGAAAAGGGATATATCGAGTACTTTCAAGCATTTGAAATCAGAAAAAAAAAATAGTTGAATACTTAGTAGTATTTGTCTTCATAGAAAAAAAAGTTGCAATTAAAATGCAATGTTTCCAACACTTGGGTATTATAAATAGCGGGCAGAGGAGGGCAAAAGAGGAAAAATTGGAACAACTATAATAGAATAACAATAAAAAATTTAAAAAAATAAAATGTTTTTTTCATACGGGTTTTGAAACACCCTGCCCTCAGATTTTGCCAAGACAATAGATTCTTAGGGCATTTATGACTTTCTCTTCCTTCCTTCCTTCCTCTTCCTTCCTTCCTTTTCTTTTTTTCTTTCCCCTTTTCATGTATTTGAATGTATTTCAAATACATTTGTCTCCATTTTCCCACCACTACTCTCCCCTGCCCCACCCACCCCCGCCTTTCACCCTCAATCCTTCCCTACTTTGGCTTTGTCCATGGGTCCTTTATACATGTTCCTTGACTTGAACCTTCCCCTTCTTTTCCCTGTTATCCCCCTCCCTCCTTCCCTCTCATTACTGTCAGTTTGTTTTTCCTTTCAATGTTGCTGGTTATATTTTTCTTGCTTATTTTTTTTGTTGATTAGGTTCCATTTGTATGTGAGATCACGTGCTATTCATCTTTATTTTAACATCTCTTTGCTTCTCCTTGGCCTTCATTTTCCTAATCTCCTTTAGGAATTTGTCTCTGCGGGTCAGTCAGACAGCCATTCTCCTTGAATTTGCTGACCATCTCACAACTCTCTGACTATTCTCATCTGGACTTTCCTCTTGCTGTATACCAAAATTCAGTCTTCATTTTCTCTGCTCTCCTCTCTTCTCTGGCCCATCCCCCTTGTACCTTCTCATTTCAATGATTGAGTCCATCTTTTAACTGATCTCCCAACCTCAAGTGAGGCCTACTCCACTTCTACTTTGTGCAGTACAGCTAGAAATGATTTTTTAATACAATCACTTGCTCAAGGGCACACATGACTACTGGGTGGCTAAGGTTATTCTGTTTGAAATCTGTGAATGGCTCTACAATTTTATCTGGGTGTTATTTAAACTCCCTCTTTTCCTTCCACAAGAATTTAGCACCTCCATGTAGCAGCCATTCCTTGGGAAATTGAAATAGTGGTGAGCAAAGCAAACACACCTCCTACTTTCAAGGAGCTCACAGTTTAGTGGAAGATATTTTATACTAATCAATAAAAATAAATATTTAGTCATAAGCTGCAATAATTACTCTAGTGAATGTTGTGGTGCACCTATCACCTATCAAGATCATGCCTTCAGAACCAAAGTACTCATCTTCCCACCTGCCCGGTGTGTCAGCTACTGATAGCTTATACTGAGTCCTTCTCTGGAAATTGCTGTTGACTGAAAGGAGCTCTCATGCACAGTGGGAGTTTGACCAATGAGTGGTTGATGGGGGTTAGAAAGGCTTGACTCCTAGCCTTGAGTTGAGACCTCTCCAGAGCCATCCACTACTCCTTGTGGAACTTGACTGAGACATCTACTGTATCTGCATCGCACTTCAACTTTTACCTAATCCTGCTTCCTTGGCCTCCTTATAAATACCAGAACACTTCCCAATAAATTTCCTCCACACAATCTCCATCCCAGCTTCTATTTCCAGAGAATATGATCAAAGAACAGTTGCTCTGGAAGAAAATATAGGCTGTATGGGAATAAACCACAAGGAAATCTAATTTAGATTGAGAATATGAAACCTGTAATATCTCTTTTAAGTGACACTTACACCAACACTTAAAAAATGAGAAACAGCAAATAGTGGGGGAGTTTTCTAGAGGGAAGAGTATGAGTGAAAATTCAAAGGTAGGAAAGGTCTTGTTATGGTGTGCTGTGACTGATCAGGGCTGGACAGGTTCATGGATTAATGCATACAGAAGAATATTCATGGAGCCATTGGGATGTCTGACATGCCTTTATTCAAGGGAGCCACAAAGGCCACAAGCCCGAGTCTATGTCTACATCCCCACTCAGAAGCCCCTACCTTCTTAAATACTAGAAGGAACAAAGCCAGCCTCAGGCCCAAAAGTTAAGTAACATAGGAGGAGCTGTGCATGTGAGCCAACTTCATGTTACAGGAACTGTTTATCAGACTCAGACTCAGACTCAAGGCTGTGAGACCCAGTCTCAAGGCTGTGAGAACACAGTTTTATCAGACCCCTTCGAGGTTGTGAGAAACTGCTTTTCTTAATTACCCAGACACCTGGGTGAGGAAGCCAGATTAACTCTACTTACCCTACGTATATGTTCCAGGAACTTAGAGATATCCAGTGTGTAATATGTATAATGAAAGGTAGGAGGGTATTGACATGAAATGAGTCATAAGAAGCAGAGGTCATATCATTGGGAATATTTTAGCCTATCTTAACCTGCACAATGTTATCCTAAGTACGTGGGAAGTATCTGAAGGGTTTTAGGTAGGATATTTTTAAGTTTAGTTTATATTTTAACATATTTCTGGTTGTCTATGGAGAATGGATTGGATGAGGGCAAGAAAGAGCAGTTAGGAGACTATAAATTGTAGACATAGTAGAGTAGGAAACAGCTCCCTAGAAAGGAGCTGTAACAGTGGTCATCGAGAGAAGTGGCTTACTTAATAAAATAGGAAACAAGTGACAAGATCCAATGCAGTACTGAAGGGGAAAGAAAGGAGAAGGAGGCATTAGTTAAGGGCCCCAAATTTTTAGTACCATTTACTAGTTTGGGTAGACTAGTTGGAGGATCACACTTCTCAAGAAAGGTTGAGTTAAATTTCAAAGAGCTAAATTCTAGGTTCCCCCATGCATCTAATACTTTTATAGCACTAACAATGCTCATATTAAATATTTGACATTCTTGATGAACAGTTTTGTGCACAAAGATTATTTGCAGTTACTTATTATTTTTAAATTAAATTATTTTTTTACCTTTTAACTTTTTTAATTTTTAATCATTTTTTTTCTATTACAATTGTCTCATTTTTCCCCCTTTAGCCTCCTTCATGCATCCCACCCCCACCCCTGCTCCCACAGTCAATTCCCACTCTGCTGTCCATGTCCATGGGTCATTCATACATGTTCTTTGTCCAGTCCCTTCCCCTTCTTTCCATTTTCCTCTTCCCCATACCCTCTGGTCACTTTCAGTCTGCTCCATGTTTCCTTGCCTGTGGTTTATTTTGTTCATTAGTTTATTTTGTTGAATAGATTCCACTTATAGTTGAGATCATACGGTATTTGTCTTTCACCGACTGGCTTATTTCACTTAGCATAATATTCTCAAGTTCCATCCATGTTTTTGCAAAAGGTAGGAGTACCTTCTTTCTTGGTTTATTTTTTAAATGCAAGTTGACCTTATTCTTTTTTAATTCCAAAATCCATTATAAAATATTAAAAGATTTAAATCCATTATAAAGTCTCAGTAATTAAAACAACATGACACCAGCACAGAAATAATCATGTAGATCAATGAAATGAGCATTCTAAAAACAAACATACATGTCTGTCTAAAAATGTAACATATGATTAAATTGATATTTCAAATAAATGAGGAAAATAAAGCTTATTCAACAAACAAGATGCATGATCCACTATTACTTGAAATAAAACTAATATAGAGCCATATTTCACACATTATAAAAATATATTCAGGTGAGTTAAAAATCAATATGTAAAATCTAAGGAATATTAAGAGAAAACACAAAATAATATTTTCTTATCCTGAAGTAAAATATTCAAACCCAGAAGCTATAAAGTAAAATATTGACAATATGACTAAATTAAACATTTAAGGCTATATAGAAATATACATATTAAAAAAGTCAAAGGACAATAGAATAGGAAAGTATTTGAAACAGATCTATAAAAGGATTAATACTTTGTTTTTCAATAGGGAAAAAATTCTCCAAACCTTTAATCAAAAAATAGATAAAGAAAATTTAAAGCTTTTTAAAAATAATAGAAATAAGCAAGAAATGTTCAAAAACAGGTTTAGTTTCAACAAATAATAAAGTAACAAAATAACACATCACTGTCACAATCAGATTAATAAGTATTAAAAATATTGGTAATATCAAGTACTGGTGACTGTAAAAGGAACAGGGTATTCATATGTTCTTTTTCTTCATCTTCTTAAAGCAGTCCCTTTAGCATATTTTGCAATGTTGGTTTGGTGGAGGTGTGTTCTTTTAGCCTTCTTTTGTCTGGGAAACTCCTTATTTCGCCTTGCATTTTAACTGAGCATTGCTGAGTAGCGCAGTCTTGGTTGCAGGCCTCTTTGCTTTTCATGATTTGGAATATTTCTTGCCATTCCCTTCTGGCTTGTAGTGTTTCTGTTGGGCAGTCAGCTGCTAGTGGTATTGGGGCCCCCTTATATACTACTACCTCTTTCTCCATTGCTTCCTTTAGGATTCTCTGTCTTTGATATTTGCCATTTTAATGATGATGTGTCTTGGAGTGGGCCTCATTAGGTTCCTCTTGCATGGGACCCTCTGTGCTTCCTGGACTTGTGTGACTTTTTCTCTCCTCCAATTAGAGAAGTTTTCCATCACTACTTTTTCAAACAGCTTCTCTATCCCTTGCTCCTCTTCTTCTCCTTCTGGTATCCCTATTATTATTATGTTTCAGGTTGTCCTGAATTTCCCTCAATGCCTCTTCATTCTTTTTGAGTCTTTTTTCCCTTTCTTGCTCTTTCTGGGAGCTTTTTTCTACCTTATCCTCCAGCTTGCTGATTCGATCCTCTGCTTCATCTAGCCTGCTTTGGATTCCTTCTACTGTGTTCTTTAATTCAGAAATTGTATTCTTCATTTCCTCTTGTCTCTTATTAATGGTTTCTGTGTCCTTTTTGAGGCTGATATAGTTTGCAATAAGTTCCTCATAGTTTCCTTGTAGTTTTTGTAATTCTCTCTGTGCTCATTGAGCTCATTGAGCTTCCTTAGAACCGTTGTTTGGAGCTCAGTATCTGATAGTTTACTTGCCTCTTTTTCATTTAGTTCTCTTTCTGGGGATTCCTCCTTTCCCATCAATTGGGAGATGTTTCTTTGTCTTCCTATTTTTTGTGAGACTCCTCTTTTTAGCTTCTCCTTCTTAAATTGATCTGTCTTGATTTCCTGACTTTGTGATATGAACATCTATGGTAGGAGACCACTGTTTTTCCTTTCTGGATCTGCCTCTGATGATGTCAGATGTTGTCCCTGTCTGACCTTAGGAGTCTCTTTGAGACTTCCAGGAATCTACTCTCTGTGGCTGTCTCCTTCAGTTGTTAATCTAGCCACTTTGCATGCAGCAGTCAGGCTTAGACTGCTCAAGGTGGGGCAGAGACCCTCCTGGGGGCAGGGTTTCTCCTGGGTCATCTCACATTGCTGCCACTCAGGGGAGTGGTCTGCCTGAGCCAGATGGTTGCTGCCTTCTGGGGGAGGAGTCAGCACTGGATCCCATCAGCTACTCTGTCCATTCCCTCCCCATAGCTTCTTTCCCCAGTCTCTCCTCAGGCATCCCCAGTATACTATGCCCCCACCTTTGCTGGAGACCAGAGTAAGTGGCTGCAAATAAAAATTTATTCATTGGCCCTTTAAATGGCTCTTTGCATCTCCAGCCACCTGTCTTTGGTGAGAGCAACTTTGCTGCTTTTCACAGCTGGTTGTTATCTGTGTACTTTTTGGGCTCTGGTGCTGTAGGCTAGAGATTCCCACTTATGGTTTAGACCCTGCTCTTCTCAAGGGGATCCAACTGGCTATTTCAATATCCTTCTGGTGCTACCACCCAGGGGTGCCATGCCCACCTTCTCAAGTCTCTGCCACGCTCTTTACCAGTTAGGCTGTGCTAAAGTTGATTCTCCTGTCTGTCCGAGGTAATAAGGCTCCTCTATCACTATTGTTCAATCGTCTGTTCCAGGTGGTTTCTCCACAATTTAATTGTAATTCTAGATTGGTCCTGGGAGGAAGTCAGTGTGACTTCCACTTACTCCTCCACCATCTTGATTCTCCTTTAAATTAAAATTTAAAGGAACAATTCCAAACCTTTTTGTATAACCTTTTAAAGTTTCACTTATAACTTATATTTTACTTATAAGTCTAGTAAATTTGAGCCATCAATTCAAGGAAGCCTATGATTAATATTTAGTCCCATTTAAAGTAATAGATACCTTTAAAAACTTTAAATGTCAATTACTCATCAAATATATTTGATTTCTTTTTTAATCTCTTATATCTTTAACAAACAAATTCTAACCAAGCTATAAATAATGTGTGTCATTTAAATAAATCAAATTTATAAACATAAACAAATATATTATAACATTTCTTAAAAACATTTCTTTACTATTTGTCAACTTAATATTTTAATACATTTCTAGTTAAAATATAAAGTAACTATCTTATGTAGATTTTAATATGTAATTCTAAATAATTTGTTGGTATAATATGTCAAGTTAGCTCAATATTATATATATTTTAAATATACATATGCAATGGTTTTACTAAACTTAACCCATGAATATGAACAGTATGTATTTTTCTTATTTTATCATTTTCATCTTTAATTTAAAACCTTCCCAATGGTAAAGGACTCTCATCAAGAAGGAAAATAATGATCTTAGACCAAAAAATTAGAGTTACTTTCTCAACAAATTGAGGTGGCATGTCAATCAGAATTAGGCAGGGATGTGAGATTTAAATCCTTACTTGGCACTCTCCCACAAAATGTGCCCTTTTTTATGATCACTATGGTACAGAAACTTGACTTCCTAAAGTGGGAACTGGTCATTCTTGGGCCCAATACTCCACTTCCTAATTCTCTTGCATACTCAGAGAAGCTAGTGAAACTCCCACCAAGATTGTTGCTAATCTCCTTCACTGCTGGATTGAATTTTACATTTCCATGACTAGATTTAAATCATTTAATATGGTCCTATTTGACTCCGAAGCCACTTTAATCCCATTCAACCCTTCAAAGACTTTTATACAGTTTTTTTTGTAACTCTTGGATTGGTAGGATCTGAATAGTTTGTTTTACATATATATGTGTGTATGTACATATGTATATGTATATGTGTATGTATATACACAAAGATTATTTGCAGTTATTATTTTGGAATATACATATGCATACACATATATGGAAATGTACAGAGGAACAAGAAAAACAAAGCTGAAAAAAAAGTAGAGATGGAGGGAAAAAAGGCCCTCCAAAACACAACCATGCACACATACATCTTTTATAATTAAAGTAGGCAGCAAGAAATTTTTTCCATTAGTTGTCTCTGTGTTAATGTGTTACATATTTCATTTGATAAGCAATTTTTTACTATGTACTTGGGCCAATCGCTAACCCAGGTGTTTAAGATAAATTGGTAAGATGCGATGCTGTATTCAAAAATGTTATTCTCATTTCTATTTGGAAGCAGTTACTATCAGTAAAGTTCAGAATATTAGATTAAATTAAAATTTTGTATTTGGTAAACTATCCCTTCATTTAACAAACAATCACAGAGCACTTACTTTGTGCTGGGCACTATTTTAGATGCTGGGAATAGAGTGGAAAATGAATCAGAAAAGAATCCATGCTTCATGAAGTTTTATATTCTAGGGCAGCTCAGCCTAGCAATGTGCAAACAGATATGACAGGTTGCAAATGGTATGGGAAAAATAAAAGAGCATAAGGAGAGAAAGCATGATTGGGTTGTATTTCAGACAGGGTTGTCAGCAAAGACCTTTGGGATGTCATTTGAGCAGATAGATAACAAGGGTGTGGATTGATTGTACCAGAGGGAGATTTGGAAGAATGGCAAATATGAAAAACACTATCACAATGCTTTCTGTGAAACAAAGCAGCCATCTATTACTACCTCCATGATTCACTGATTAACATATAGCAATGGCCTGCACATCTGCATTTCCTAAGCCATCCAATTTAAGATGACATAGCATTGTACTGAAAAGACAATCTGTCTATAAATCAATATTTGGGCCAAAAGCAAATATAGCTGTTATAGAAAAGGGAATGAACCCAGAACTCTTACATGAAGAAAGAGGTTCTTTTGTAGAAAATTTTCCTTCCTTCCCTCCAGCACAATCTACAGTACCCTGCCTCCCAGGCCTAGCTCCGAAAGCTTTTCACCTCCTGCCAGTACAAAAGTAGAGCGAATGTATGTCTGTTAAGATGCCTTTCTACACTGAGACATTCTGGATGCTTTCCAAAAAATCTCAATCTGGTATTTATGAAGAGGACTAATATAATCCCTCTTAAGCCATTATCAAAACTTGGGAAATAAGAGTTCTGTCTAGAATAGAGGCATATCTACCCCATTTAACACTGAGACCAAGATTAAAGATGTGGGCCTGGTTCTCAGGCTAGTAAGATGGCATAATATTATAAGGCAGTGAGTGTGTATTCCATATATAATTTGCTACACTGACTTTCAAAGACTACCACTGGTCCATACAATTTGAATTCTGACATCTTATGCACATTTAACATCTGGTTGGGTGGGACATTGCTGACTGCTCAAAGAAAACCACTTAATCTAGTGATTTGGTCTTTTCGTCCTTACTACCTAGGTTTGAATAATGTTCCTATCTGTACTGTGAATGATGGTGAGAACTCATTGGGAACATCGTGGGGTGCTGGCCAGTTCAACCACTTAGAGAAGCATGAAACACCATCTGCCAAATGTAGTCACCCACCCAGTACTGCACCCATAGAGAGCCCAGTCAGAGGAGTCTCACCAGCCCCAAACAGTATCAAAGTGCACCTCCCACGGCCTCATTCTGGTGAGTCTCTCTGAAACTATGAAGTATTTCCTGAGGCCTCCTACAAACTAATTGGGGATGGATGGGGTAGAATCTATATGCTTGACAAAATAGCTGCAGTGATTTTTAAATAGTCATGAAATTTTCACAGAGTGAAATAAGTATTCATTATAGAAAATTTTCAACCATCTAATCTCAACTTAGTAGTTCAAAAATGTTAATAAATATTATAATTATGATTAGTTATGTCCAATACATATTTGGTGTGGCTCTAATTTCTAATTCCTACAAAAGTAGCTAGGAGATGCCAAAAATGAATCTTTAGCCAACATTGACAAAAAGTGAGTTGGGGAAATGAAACAGATGTGGAATTTCATGCTTACATCTTCCCCACTGGATGATAAAGTCCTTGAGGTTAAGGCTCCATGTTTTTGCTATTCTGGCTATCTCCCCAGCTTCCAGCACAGTGCCTGGTCTTTCATAAATGATTCAATAAATTAGTTAATTTTTGCTGAATTGAAATGAAGCAAGATTAATCAAAAGTACAACATAATGATTATAGTTAAAAATACTGTATTGTATATTTGAAAGTTAGGAGTTTTGGATCTTAAAATTTCTCATCATAAGAAAATAATTGTAACTATGTAAGGTCATGGATATTAACTAAATGTATTGTGATAATCATTTTGCAATATATACATATATCAGACCATTATATTGTACATCTTAAATTAACACAAAAAAGCAAAGTAAGGCCAAATCTAAAGGTCAAGGTAAAATATAAGGGATTCTGAGTGGTAAAAATTATACCCTGTTCTCTTTCTCCCACTGTGTTGCAGCCTTTCTAGGCTGGACACATCCTCTGGGGGCTCGGGTAGACAGAAGAAGATGCCTGGAGCCTTGGGGATGCTTGACGTGTCTTTATTCAGGAGAGTCACGCAGGCACAAGCCTGATCCAGGGAAATCACACAGGCCACAAAGCTTGTGTTTGTGCCACACACAGGCCATGAGCCCGTGTCCAAGTCAGTGCCTGACTCCCCACCCTGTCTAAACCTCCTATCCCTTAAATACTAGCCCCAAACAAAGCAGGCTACAGGCCAGAAAGGGAAGTAACTATCATGAGCTGCGCATGTGAGCCTACACAAGGCTACAGGGCAATTTATCACACCTGGGCTCAAAGCTGTGAGCCCTGTGCTCAAAGCTGTGGGAACACTGCTTTATCAGACTCCTTCAAGGTTGCGAGGAGTTGCTCCCTCTGGTGACCCATGAATCTGGTGAGGGAGCCAGACCGCCTCCATCTACCCTACACCCACCCTATATAGTAACATGCTATTACTAAAAGCTTCAAGACAACATGAAAACTATTTTGGTATAATATGGTAAACTATGTATCTTTCAAAAGATAATAAGAGGGATCCTCAATAGAGTACTTACTATGTGATTCCATATTAAGTTCTCGCTTGTTTCCTCATTTCATCTTTTATACAAAAGTTCCTAATTCTGCCTTTCTACTAGCAATGAAGAAAATCAAAGCCCATATATTCCACTTTCCTCCTAGTGTTCCTTCTTATAATTTAAAACATAGGAACTTAAAAATTACATTTGCAGAAGTCCTTTGATGGAAATCAGGTGTTGCCATCTGGTAAAATTTATATCACAGATGTGGGTCTAAGGTGATCTTTTTGGTTGATGTCTGCTATCAAACATGACTGGAGACATGTTTGTTTTGTGGTTGTTTTTTGCTGCAATAGCTCAGTGTTCAGACTCTGGATTTATAGGTGTCAAAAAGGCAAAGTCAGCAAATATGCTGGCTTTCTGATTACAGTAGAGATCCAGCCATAATCTTTAGCCTCTTGGATTTGGCAACAGCAGTTGAAGGCGCCATGACTCCTGACTCCCCTTCTTGCTGATTGTGATGGACGTGTCCCCCTTGGTAGGCCAGCTGCAAAGTGTTCTTGAAATGATTTGTGAAGGGTCAAAACCAGACTTCACTGTTCCAATGCTTCCATATTACAGACCAGCAGTTCTCTGTATTGTTTTTGCTCAGAATAGCTAGAGTGGTTTCTGTTGCCCACACAGTTCTCTTAATAGACTCACACCCATAACTCTGTTCTTCCTACTCTAAGGAATAAATTCAGTTAACTATTGGGTATGTACACAAAATTTTTTCATCTTCAAAAGAATTGCTGTGTTAATTATGCCTTCAGTATAAAAGATAGCATCACTTAATCAGAATATATCTTTAAACTAATGCAAAGGAAAATTGAGCAAACATTTAAGTGGTTTTAGGGTAATTTATGGGGATTTAGATAGATGAATATGAAGTAGGTAGGGTTGAGAGACTGATGAACCAAGGAATAAAATAAAGAATGTAATTATAACTTAGTATATTTCTTCACTTTCTGTCTATAGGGCAAACAGCACCCATATAGTCTCTGTAATTAGAGAAAGTGACAGTTACATGGACAGCAACCAGAGGAAAACATGTCTTACACTGAAATGTGTGCTTTAAAAAAGTTTATCTGGATCAAGAGATCTCTTGCAGTGTTTCTTTATATAATTTTGTGGTAATAGAATTAGTTTTATAAGTATACTTTTATTATGTTATTATAGTACAATTCTACCTTCAAGTGTTCTAATATTTATAAACAGATCCCTGGGTTGATCTTAATTAAAATTCTGATCTACACCTATCTATTTCAGCAACTGATATATATGGCATGTGATAGAAAAATTTTTTTCAGTTTGATCTAAGTATACTTTTTCTCAATATCATTTCAGAGCCCTGTAGAAAAATCAAAGAGTGCTTCAACACTTCCAGTGAGAATCCCTTAGTAATTAAAAAGGTAAAGAAACAACTATTTACAGCTACCTATTTAGTTTGACTTTTATCATTCCATCTCCTCTTTCTTCTTCACATACTTTTTAAAAAAATGCCATGTTTACAATATTTTTTACAACTTTATTTAAGTATAATTAATGTGATATAAAATGCATATACAGAGTGGGGCAAAGTAGGTTTACAATTGTTTGTATGGAAAATAATACAATAATAAATAATAATAATAAACTCTGTGTTTCATGTACCCACAACTGTAAGACTACTTTTGCCTCACTCTGTATGTAAAGTGAATAATTTGATGAGTTTTGACAAATATATATTCACACCAGGGAAGCCTCCAATGAAATCAGGAGGATAAACACATCCATTACTTTCAAAAGTTTTCTCGTGACCCTGGATCCCCCATGGACAAACGTTTATCTGCTGTCACTAAAGACTTAGCATGCAATTTTTAGGATTTTATGTACGTGAAATCATATAGTGAGTTCTCTCTCTTTAAAAAATCTGGTTTCTTTAACTTAGCATAATTAATTTTGATTCACTCATGTTGTTATATGCCAATAAAAAGGATAGTTCATTTATTTTTATTGCTGAGGAATAGTCCCACAATTTGTTTATCCATTTACTTTCTGATAGACATTTAGCTTATCTCCAATTTTTGACAGAGTTGATATGAACATTTGTGTACAGTCTTTGTATAGAAATACATTTTCTTTTCTTTTGGGTAAATGCTTAGGAATGAAATGACTAGATCTTATAGTAGGTGTATGTTAAATTTTTTAAGAAACTGCCAAACTGTTTTTCCAAAGTGGTTGTACCATTTTATATTCCTGCCAGTGGTGTATAAGATTTTCCTTTCCTCCCTATCCTTAGTATGGTCAGTATTTTTATTTTATCCATTCTAGTGGGTGTGTGGTGGTATCTCATTGTGGTTTTAATGCACATTTCCCTAATTACTAATGAGGCTGACATGTTTTCATGTTATTTTTTTCTGCCATCCATGTATTTTTTTATGGAAAGTGTATATTCAAATCTTTTGCCCACATTTTAAATTGGGTTGTTTGTCTTTTTATTATGAAGTTGTAAAAATTCTCTATATACTCTAATTACAAATCTTTTGTCATATCTATTTCTTGCGAATATCTTCTTCTAGTCTGAGGCTATCTTTTTTGTAACTGTATCTTTGAAGAAGCAGAATTTATAATTTTGATAAAGCCCAAATTTTAAATCCTTCTAATATAGTTTTAAATGCATGTGCTATTTATCTCTCTATTGCACCCATATAGTCTCTGTAATTAGAGAAAGTGACTATATTGTGTCTTGTTGCAATGGCTAGAAACTCTAGTGCTATGTTGAATGGAACTGGTAACAGCAGACATCCTTGACCTACCTAAATCACTGGGGGAAAGCATTCAGACTTTCACCTTTAAGTACAGTGTTAATTTACTTTATTCATAAATATCCTTTATATGGTTGAGGAGATCCCTTTCCATTCCTAGTGTTCTGAGAGTTTTTCTTTTAAATCAGAAATGGGAGATGAATTTTGCCAAATGCTTTTTCTGCATTTTTTTGAGATGATCCTATGATTTTTCCTTTTTTAGTCTGTTAATAGTGTGAATTACATTGGTTGACTTTCAAATGTTAAACTACATAATATCCAAGTTGAACTACCCTTGCATTCCTGGGAAAAACCTAACTTGGTCATGATATGTTATCCTTTTTATATAATTTCATAAGATATTTTTTAGCATTCTTATGTCTGTGTTCATGAAGAATATTTGAAGTTTACCTATAACGTCTTTCCTTGTTTTGACATCAGCATAATACTGGCTTCATAGAATAACTGGAGAACTACTCTTTAATATTCTGGAGAATTTTATGTAGAATTAGTATTATTTCTTCCTTAAAAGTTTAGTAGAATTTGTCAATGAAGCCATCAGGGCTGGAGTTTTCTTTGGGCAAAGATTTTTAACTACAAATTCAATTTCATGTTTTTATAAATATAGGCTATTCAGGTTAGCTAATTCTTCTTTAGTGAGCTTTGGTAGATTATGTTTTTCAAGAAATTTGTTCATTTCATCTATGTTTTATAAAGACATTCATGCAATAACCTTTTAATGATTACATGATCTTTTCTTCCTGATGTATGTAGATAGAGGTTTATGAGTTTTTATTGCTCTTCCTTAAAAAATCAGCTTTTCATTTCATCGGTGATCTCTATTGCTCTGTTTTTGTGTTTCTATTTCATTGATTTTGGCTTGTATCTATATTAGAAGAAAGCTTAAATCATTGATTTGAGACTTTTTTTTTTTACTGCTTTGGCTATATCCCCAAAATTTATGATGTTGAATTTTCATTTTCATTCTGTTCAAGATATTTTCTGATTTACTTTTTAATTTCTTTTACCCATGAATTACTTAAAATTGTTATTTAATTTCCAAATATTTGGGGATTTTAAAGATATCTTTATGTGCGTGGTTTCTAATTCCACTGTGGTCAGAAAATACACTTTTCTTGAAACCTTAAATCCCACAACCATTGTTTATTATAAAGATGAAGCCAGATCCTCATGATGGGTTTATCAGTAGGATTTCTGGTAGTGAGCACCAGGGCCTCCAAGCTTTATAAATTCACAGTCATGGGGATCAGCTAACAGCAGGGTTTAGCTATACTGTGTGAAGATGCCCTTGATCTCCTTCTTATAAAACTTACTCATGTGTTTCTGGTAATAGGCCATTAGGACTTTAGAGAAGAACTGGCATAAATATGGGACATGCGACCACCACCTTCATAGGGACATGGATATCTACACCAGCTAACAGCTGCTTACCCAGAATACTCTGAAACTTTAAGAAATTTATTGAGATTTGTTATAAGGCCCAGGACGTGGTTGACCTTGATAAATTTTCCATTTACCCATGAAAAAGAATGTTCACTCTGCTGTTCTTGGGTAGAATGTAACAGAACAGTGTGGTGATTGTAGGGGGAAGGAGGATGGGTGGAGCTGTGGGTGGGCGGAGGTAGAAGAGGCTATGGGGGAATGAATGTTGATGGACAAAAGAAAAGAAAAGAAAAAGAAAAAATAAATATAAATGTTTTAAAATTTAAAAAGAAAGTTTTCTTATGGAAGCAAAAAAAAAAAAAGAAAATTAGGCCTAATTGGTTGAATCTCTCATTCAAGTCTTCTGTGGCCTTACTGATTTGCTGTCTACTTTTTCTCTTTCTTTTAATTTGATTTATTTACTTTTTAGAAAGCAGGGAAGGGAGGGATAATAAGAAGAAGAGGAACATCAATGTGTGAGAGATACAGCAATTGGTTGCCTCTCACACACTCCAAACTGGGGAACCTGCACCAAAACCAGGCATGCGCCCTGACTAGGAATTGAACCTGTGACCTTTTGGCTTGTAGGTCAGCACTCAATGCACTGAGCCACACCATCCAGGGCTGCTGTCTACATTTTCCTATCAGTAATTGAGAGAGAGGTGTTCAAATCTCTGACTATAATTGTGAATTTTTTCATTTCTATCAGTTTTTAATCATGTCATTTAAAACATTTTTATTAGGAGTGTAACTATTTAGGTTTGTTATGTCCTCTTCATGAAATGACCCTTTAATCATTATAAAATTAATATCCTCCATTCCAATAACATTCCTTGGTTTGAAATTTATTTTGTTATAGCATTGTTCAGATTTTCTGTTTCTTCTTGAATTGATTTTGGTAACATAGTATTTTTCTAAAAATTATTAATTTCATATAAACATTCAAATCTATCAGCAATGTTATATAATATCCTCATATTCTTTTAAAAATATCTGCCTATCTGTTATATGTACTCTTTTACATATGTTTTATTAATGTGTGTCTTTTTCTTGATCAGCTTCAACAGAAGTTTATCAATTTTATTAGCATACCAAAGAACTAATTTTTCTGTTTTTTATCTTCTATGTTGAATATTTCTTCTATTTTATTGATTTCTATTATCTTTTCTCTTTCCACTCACATATTTATTTTATTGTTCTTTGTCTAGCTTCTTTTATCTTTCTAGTATATATATTTTAAAGCTATAAATTCCATTCTGAGAATTGCTTTAGCTGCTTTCATAATTATGGCCATGTAACATTTTCAGTAGTATTAAGTTAATTTTTTTCTAATTAGCATTATAATTTCCTTTTGAATCACAGCTCAATTGCTGGATATTATATATGAAAAATTGTTTGTGGGAATATGAAGCCCATGCATGATAACTGAATTTTGTTCCAGAGAGAATTTGTGTTTTTTTTTATAGGAACCCAGAGGCTCTATAAGACTAGATTAATTTAAACACAGTTCAAACCTTGATCTCAGCCCTTATTTCTTCAAAGACTGTTACATTTCTAGATCACTTTCACCTTGAGAGTATAGCCCTTGGGTGGCTCTTGTCCAGGTCTTGAAATTTGGGTCCTCTCTTTCAGGACTTTTAAGCCAAAAGGAAAGTTCTCATTCTCCAGGATTAATGGCCTAAAAAAAAAATGGCTATTGCACTAGTTACACTTCAACCTTCTTACTTCCCTTTCACTTTTAACCTATTAATTCCTATTTAATCATTCATCAACATTGTTTTTTTACATTTTAATCTGCCTTTTTAGCTGTGTTCAGTTGGGGGGGGGGGTTTAAACCAAATATGTATATTGCTATTCCCCATAACTAGAAGCCTACACAATAAACTTTAACAAAAGAATTCATCTAAGTACACTGCAACTTTATTTTCAGTAAATGTCAACAGTTAAACATTGTTCAATCAAGTCTAGTCATCATAGATCCCAGCTGCTGACATATTCAGTCACCAGTTTCTATGTGTCTTTATATATCCCTCACTTCTGAAGGTTAAACCTTTCTTGGAATAAGTATGCAGATCTATAACTCTTCTTGGGCTTAAAGCTCCTACAAACTTTTAAAAAATTTCAAACAGTATATTTTATCTCCCAAAACAAGAAAATAGACTTTCTATTTTCTTTTCCAAAGAATCAAGGGAAATAATTAAGTTTACCTTTCAGCTGACATTTAGCAGAGCAAGGAGGCAGCAGTTCGTTCTCTACAGAAACACCATAAAACCTCTCCACGGTCTTTTCCAATCATGAAAGAGAAATCTTCCCAACTCAACAGAAAATTTTATTATGTGTCATGAGTTGGTTGTTATAAGAAGCAGCACTATAAATAAACATTATACAGTAAACATTTAAAAATTATTATGCTGTTCAGCCAATGGTTTAAAGTGGTTTCACAAAAAGTAAATAATGATTCTATTTGTTCTGTCTCTAAATGCATATGTTTGAAAGTTAGATATTTAAGGGGGGATTAAAACTAACCTTTTTGCTTTTATGTATGCTTCTAATTTAGCTACAATATGTCTCATTCATTTTACATTTAATTTTTATGCAAAATATAAGTGGATGCACGTGCATATTGATTATATTGTATCTTTGATTTAGGAAGAAATTAAAGTAAACAATCTACTCTCACCTCCAAAGGCATACTCTACCGCTGGATCTTGTTCTTCAGAGGTGATGAGTACCCAGACTAATGTCAAAGAGAACACTGTATGCATACCAAACTATCTGGACCAGGAAATCAAAGTAAGGGGCAAATTATTTAATCCATAATTTGGGCACAGAATGAACAGACAAAAAAAAAATCATATCACGTAGCATCCTTAAAACTCTGTCGTTCCCCTTGACAACTGAATTAATTTAAAACCACTTAGCCTGAAATCTGAGGCCTGATCCTATTTTCATTTGCAGTCTTACTTCTCCCTGGAATCCTGTCACTGTTAAAAAAAAAAAAATACAAATGAGAGAGAGAGAGAGAGAGAGAGAGAGAGAAAATAAAACCAGTGTTTGGTTTAGACATAATGAAAAGCTTGACATTTGCCAAACAATGTTGGCCCTAATTTTCCTAAGTCTGTCTTTATCATCTTCCTAATGCTTGAGAAGCACTTTCTCTGGTTGGGGTTATAAATTGAGTTATATTAATAGTAATATGTCATATCCAACAACTGGATGTTTCCAGCTTCAGTTATTTCTGAGAATGGTATATTATGAATAAATCAATCATCTAATATTTGTTATCTGCCATTCTTTGTTTACCTTCTTTAGATCCTTTTGATAACCTTCACCTTTCCTCACTTTAAGACCCACTACAATGAATTAAAGGTCAAAATACTGTAATGATGACTCTGATAGAATTTTTAAATAAGTATCAGTAGTAGCAATTGCAATAGTAGAGCATATTGTAAGAGTTGTTATTGAATAATCCTGATAAAGAACTATGTTAAAAATAAAGGATAACAGTGTCATTGGGTATAATACTTAATGTTGAAGACAAAATTGGGAAAGAGAATAAAAAGGAAGGACAAGAAGGCAGAATATCTACAGATATGGCTTGTGTTTATACATAATTTCCTAATGATTCTGGCTAAAGGCTTTATATTACAGAGACTCCAGAATCACTGTCCACCTCATTCTCTCCCTGAAGGGTTTTCCTCTGCTGGGAATTCTCTTTAACGCTTTCAGTGGTCACCTTCCTCTCATTATGGTTTCAGTTTAAATACCACTTAGTCAGAAGTACTTTCTTTGACCACTCAATCTAAGGTAGCTACCCAGTCACTCTCCATCCCATTATCCTTTATTTTTTTCATAAATCATGTCATATATGATATATTCATATTTATTTTTTCCAATATTGTCTCTGCCTTCCCACCTCACTCACACTAAAATTTAAGTCTTATGAAATCTCATACATGTCTATCTTGGTTACTGTTTTTATCTTCACAGCATGGATAAGTGCTAGGCACCTAGTAATTATTAAATAAATATTTATTGAGTGTCAAATGCATAAATTCAAAAGTTCTAACAAGATCAAAGTGGAATTGTAGAAAATAAGATAATCACATAAACCCTCGACTCAACTAAATCATAAGCTGAGTGCAGTTTTTTGTAAGGCTGTCTTGCTTCCTAGGACACATCTATTAAGGATGGCCTTGTGAGTATCTATTAAAGAGCCTTTCTCTCAGAAGCATCTTATGTCGTACAGTATTGATTTAACTGGACATCAGTTGATACAAAATCCACTAAAATGTGAACTCTTTGAAGGAGGGTAACTTGTCTACCTGGTTCAGACTGATTCCTCAGCACTCACTACTTTGCTGAAAAAATATTAGCTGACACACACGACATGGCATTTTAGCAAATAATTGTTGACTACTTATTAAAGAAATTAAAGGAGAAGTAAAGCATGAAAACAGGTCATTAAATATTTTTTTGGCTTATGTAAAAGAATTTTAAAAATAGGGCTCATCTTGGTGGTATCCCATTCTTCCATGCATTCTACAAAACATCTGAACTATAATGCAGTTTCCTCCTCTTCAGTCTGATAACTCTGAATGGGTTGCAAAATCAAGACATGTTTGTGCTGGTGTGTGTATGAAAAAGTATGCAGTTTCACAATTACTACTATAAATGAAAACAGACTTCTGTGTCTATTAGGATGTTGTTTTTAGCATTCCTCCTAAAGATCTTTAGTTTATAGAAATATTTGTTGGCCAAAAAGTTTATTCGGTTTTCTGTTTTCTCCAGTAACTTCATTGAACCACATATTCACAGTTTTGTTCCATTGCCTCCTGCTATCTTTCAGACAACTTCATAATTGCATCTTCCACAAACTTTTTATGTTTTTTTGAGCAAAAGACATTGTTCCATGCTTTTTGCAGTCTTCAAGAGAATTGAAATTTTTTCCATTAAGAGAATTTTATAAAGACCAAAATAAATGGAAATCCAAAGGTGCAATGTCTGGTGAATATCATGGATGAATCAGAACTTCCCAGCCAAACTGTAATAGTTTTTGCCTGGTCATCAAAAAACATGTGGTCTTGCGTTATACTGATGGAAGATTATGTGTTTTCTATTGAGTAATTATGGACAATTTTTGTCGAGTGTTGCTTTCAGTTGGTCTAATTGAGAGCAGTACTTTATTGGAATGAATTGTTTGGTTTTCCAGAAAAAGCTCATAATACAGGACTCCTTTCCAACCCTGCCATATACACAGCATCGCCTTCTTTGAATGAAGACTGGCCTTTTGTGTAGTTGGTGGTGGTTCATTTTGATTGCCCCACGATCTCTTCCATTCCACATTATTGTAAAGTATACACGTTTTATTGCCCCTCATGATTTGTTTTAAAAACAGAATGTGTCCATTACGTTTAAGTAGAGAATCGTATGCAGAAATGCAGTCAAGAAGGTTTTTGCTTAACTTCTGTGGAACCAAAACATAAAAAAATAACAAAGCTCGTGCAAATGATTTTTCAATGCTTGATTTGGATATTTTGAATATGTTGGCTATCTTCTGCATGGTATAATGTTGATTATTCTCAGTTAATGTCTCAATTTGATTGTTATCAACTTCAACTGGTATACCCAACTGTGGAGCATCATCCAGCAAGAAATCTCCAGCACAAAACTTTGCAAACCACTTTTGACACATTTAATCAGTCACAGCATCTTCTCCATACAATACACATTTTTTTTGCATTTCAGTTGCGTTTTTACATTTCTTGAAATGATAAAGCATGATATGCTGAAAATGTTGCTTATTTTCTTCCATCTACAATATTAACATGGCTGCATAAAGTCACCAATTTTGATGTTTTAAAAAAATTCATGCTGATATGACAGCTGTCACAATACAATCTAATAAAATTATTTTGAATGAAGTTAAAGACAACTAAGCACTACTAGAGCCATTTTACGGGGAAAAAAATGAACTTGGTTCCTTCATTCACAGAGCTTATGAGAGGGATTGTACAGGTATTATAAAATCAGATAGGAGGAGATTTCTGGAGCTAAGAGAGTCTTTGGAAGAAAGAAACCTAAAGAATGTTTAAGCTATAATTAGAAGATAAAGAGAAGTATAGAACAGGTCATTCCCAGCCAAGAGAACCTCTGCCTAAAGATTAAGAAGTGAGAATACTGTTTATTCAATGAACTAAGAGCAATTATTATGGCTGTTGCAGAGAATACAGGGAGAACATTGCCAGAGATGGGGTTGTGGACTAAGCAGAGAACAGATAATAAAAGTTCTTTATAAGTTATATTGAGGTGTTCAGATTTCATCACAAAGGCTGTGGAAATTCAGTGACTAATTTTAAGCAGTAAGTGATATTGAATTATTTTGTAAGTACAAGAATTACCTGTTCAGAGTTGTACTTTAGGAAAATTACTCTAAATCAATATGCAGAATTAATTTGGGAGGAGGAGGCAAAATTGCAGACAAGGTACTCTGCTTCCAAAATGGTAGATTAAGTTCCAGACTTAGCTACCTACTGAAAACAATCATATAACTGGAAAAATTATATAAAGAAGCTGATTTCAGGCATTGGGCAAAAGACAGTAAAAATATATGACCACTGACCACTGAGGAAAGAAAACAAATAGGATGGTTTCCACATTTCTGTCGGGGGCACACTCCTAATCATGGCACAGAAAAGTGGAGCCCAGACAGCAATAGCTTCACCAGGTAGAGAAAACAAAGTCTAGGTTTTGGGGATGCTGACAGGGCTGGAATTGGCAAATTAAGATTCTGACACAGAGGGATCTGTGAAGAGAATGAGCTCCAAAAATCTGCATAGGGTTCCATGAGTCTTTGGTCTGATATAAGCTGCACATGCAGAGGATGAGATTCTGAGACCTGGCAGAAGGAAGCTAATGGTAAGCAGCACATTGCTTAGAGATGCTGGACTTCTGATCTGCTGGACCGAAGAGACCTTGTTGAACCTACCAGGAATTTAGTTGAGACCCCAGAAAGATCAAACCTTAAAAAAAAGAGTAGGGTACTCTAGCCCTAGAATAGGGGCTACTCTAGACCTACACTCCCAACTCCCAAAATTAAGTTTCAACAGATCAAACTCACCTGCCAATATATTTACCACCTTCTAAAACAAAACTCAAAGAAAAGAAAACAGGAGGCCTTCTACGAGAACATATTCTACTTCCTCTCACTAAAAGGATACTTACATTCTCTCAAAGTTGATCAATGAGTGATCTATGAGTTAAAGAAACTGGGAGTAATGTACAATCACAATATTGATGAAAAGCCATTAGAGCAGAGTGGCCTAGAGGATACCAAAGAGTTTTTTCTATTTTTGCCATGGCCACTGATTTATTGTGAAATTAGGAACAAATTTAACTTGCTGTCTTCGGGATTTGGCATTACTGAGGACATAACAAAGCTCAATGTAAGGCAGTGGATTTTTCCGCCCTTTAATTCTAATTCTATATCTTCAGCATTTAGATCAATGACGGGCACAAATATTTGTTGAATTAAAAGCATTTTAAGAAAAGATTTCAAGCAGAGAGACGAGGAAAAAAAGATGCTGCAGTAGCTCACAGAAGAATTGATGGCGGTTTAGCTGGGTCAAAGCTGTGCTGATAGAGAGAAATGGAGAAATTTGAGGAATATTTAGAAGGAAGTATTTACTGAACCTGTTGTCTGACAGTATATTGTAGAAAAGGGCAAGGGAGTGCCTAGGATGAATCCCAGGTTCTGGATTGAACATACATTCAATATATGCTGGTACTATTCATTGAGACAGGGAAGCCTGGTAGTGCAGTTTTTAGGAAGAGAAAGACAGAAGTTTAGTTTTAGATATTTTGCTTCAAAGTAACTGTAGAATATCTAAGAGGATACACTTGGTAGGCTCATGGTTCATATGACTGAAGTTCAGGAGACAGGTGTGAATTTCAGATATGTCTATGCTCCAACAGCAGACAGAGTTTAGGGTCAAACTGAAAACATCATTACATGTGTTTACTACTTTGCACTTTAATGCTTATTATAGTCCCATTTTATTAGAATCAATTATTCATATATTTATCTCATCATTCACACTTTAGCCCTTAACTTCTGATAAAAATTGTCAAAGGATCCTGGTTGACAAAGGAAATTAGATTATCCCATTGGGCCAATCACTGTTCAGGGAACTGAGGAACAATGATGAATCCAGCTAGATTCACCCACTAGAATGAGGAGAAGTACTGATGGGGGACAGTTCTATGACTGGAAGATCCCCATTAGAACCCCATGGTAAAAAGGGAAAGGATCAATTTCCCAAGAGAAGAAAAAATGAATTATTCTTCTGGATAATGTTGGTATTGAATGGACAAAACAAGGAAAACTATGTCACCTAACCTAAACTATTACTACTTTTACTGGAGAAATTTTTCAAAGATTCCACTGGCTCCCAAACTTAACTCACAATAGATGTAATTGAGCACTGTGTACAGAGTGACATTTGGTAAAATAAGACTGTGGAAAAAGTAAGGGGAACTTTATAAGCCTTGTCCCATTTATTTGCTCACTATGTGACTCTAATATTCCCTGTCAGATTCTGGCAAAGCTCTGTAACATTTTACATACTGATTCTCTGGCAGAAGTTCTGCAGTGGCTGCTTCATGCAAGTTCAAAAGGTGAGATTAATGAGAAGTGTGTTTCTGCCTGGGGTATGAATGGCAGTAGCACAGCCTCCCAAGTTCCAATTCCCCACCAGAATCATCACTAGCTTCCTTTAGATGCTTCTTGGCCTGTTCCATGAAAACACACAGAGCAGCCATCCTCTCCTCAAACCTAGCTGGTCATCAGATTGACTGAGGCCAAACTTCTGAGGTGGGTGGAGCCTGAGCATTTGCATTTCTAGCAAGTTTCCAGGTGATGCTGATAATCATGCTGGTCTGGTGACAACTCTTTGAAAACCATTGCACTAATTAAAGTTAGGACACAGCAATGTGCCAGGAACAGAATAATGTTTTAAATGAGAGCATTTTGGAAATAGTTTCTTAGCCCAGGAATTCAAGACTACTTGGCAGGCAATTGAGAAGTATTTTGGGGTAAAAAGTCTTTAGTTATTCTTTATTTTTGTTCCTTTTTAAGAATATAACAAAAAAATTACACTAGAAATAAGTGCTTATTGTGATGGTGGGGGGTGGTGAAGAACCAGAAAAAAATAAAAAAGAACAACAATAATAAATAAAATTAACAAAGACATCATTTCAGTGAAAAGTGTGCCTTTCTGGTAAGCTTGTAACTATTATTTAACTATCAGTCTGTATTTAATGAGATTATATTGTACTTATTTTTTTTTTTTTTTACTGATTTTTGAGGAAGAGAGAAAAAGAGAGAGACAGAGAGATCAATTTGTTGTTCCACTTATCTGTGCATTCATTGGTGGATTCTTGCAAGTGCCCTGACCAAGGATCAAACTGCAACCCTGGCATATCAGGACAATGCTCTAACCAACTGAGCTACCTGTCCAGGGCTGTAATTTTTTATAAGTTGACTTTTTTTCTTTTCTTTTTTCATTTGGCAGTGGGCTTTAAGGCTGAGTTTCGAGCTCAGCATTTGAAAACTATGCCACTGCCATTCATAGACAAGTACCTCAATGAGTCAATTACTCTGGGCACTCCACAATATCACAGGTCAATAGAAGCTGGGTTGTTATGAAGCAACTTTTTTGCAGAAACCTTGGCTCACACATAAGTGTCTACCCAGAGAACAGGTTGCCAGCCTTTTAAACTGGAGTGCTGGATTATAAAAAAACCAAAAACTAAATCAGTATTTCTAGACCATGATAATTACAACCTTCATGCCCCTTCCACCCCTTTTATTAAATCAGAAAAAGAGTGGGTCTCGGCTTTGATTCATGCTGAGCTGGCTGAGATAAACTTGTTGGCTCGTCCTCACCCTCGAAGAAAGAACATCTCCACAGGACCAGCAGCAGTGACTGGGAAGACAACCAAAGTTAAAGCACCCTCAGATTCACCCATGAGCTCAAAAGTGCTGACCAGGTCTCGAGAAGGACATCAGCCGACCAGGTAATTAGACACAATGGCCACCCAGAGGGCACATGGTTCATAAAGACTTGAATTCTCTTTTCATTATCTTTCAAAACACTAAACATGCTGAAGTCTTAGTTCCTCTTTATTCAGTAAATGACAGAGACATGTATTTGGTTTTTATTTTTTTCATTTTAATAAATGTACTGAGAATCATTCTAAATTCTATTTTTTCAGATCATTTTTGCAGGGGCTATGTCTTCCTTACCCAATAATCTTTCTTTCTGAGGAAACTTTTCTTCCCAGTAAGTGCCAGGCAAGAGTAGCCACCAAGAAATCTAAGAAAATATAGTGCATTTTTTTTAGTTTACCTAAAAATAACAGCTCTAAAGGAAATTCAAATTTCATTGTTATTGTATACTTTGTTAAATGTGTATCATAGAGGTATCACTTATTTGTACAGAACAATGTAAGATTAACATAAATTGTTTCAGTTAATTATCTTTGACATACTCCTGGGGGTTGTCAGAGGGAAAAATAACCATTAGGAAAATAACCACCTTGTAATTTCAATGACAGAAAATGCGTATTTATGTATAACATCAAAGTGAAAGAATGTGGTAAGATGTTATTTAAACTAAGAGAGAAAATCTTGTTGCTTTAAAATTAAAAGTTGAGGAATGCTTAAATTCAGAAACAATAATATTCAAAACATAATAGATCACTTTAATAAGCATTAATACAGAGGAGAATTTTGTAACATTGCACCTTGTCTCCACCTTAAAGTTTACATAAAACTAGAAACTGGGAGATAGTGTCAGGCCCTCTACCTTAGTAAGTATGATATATTGTTTAATTTAGTTAAAATCAGAAGAATATTTCATTGGAAAAAACATTTAATACTGTCTACTTTGGGAAACAAAGGATCGTAAGAGCATATTTAAGACACATACATACTTAGCTTATATGATAATAATGCAGTCTATAGAAAATACTTGTTTGTATCTGTGAATTTCATTTTCTCTTTCTTCAATTGATTTAGAGTGTCAAGTCAAGGATCTGAGGAAAATAAGGAAGTACCAAAAGGTTAAGTACAGTTTGTGATAATTACTGATTTGTTATAAGGAAACCAGTGAATATCTAACTAGTTAGGGGCACAGATATTAAGGAGCCAGTGTTTTAAATGCAGTAAAATACAATAGAGATTTCCAGCTAGTCTAAGGGGAAGCATGTGCTGAATCTCTCACAGAGATATATGATACAAATTCAACTTTGTATTGAAAGTAAAGGCATTCAGGGACAGGCATTCTTTGAGAAGCAAGACAAGAGGACACAGGGAAGTACAGGTTCGGTCATGCCAGTCTAATGATAGGAGAAGTCTTGCATTGGCTTAACAAAGAGACAATGATCTCAGAGTTTTGGTTCTTCACAGCTTAACTGTCATTGAGCCAAATGATTTTCCCTAGATACAAAGTCAACCAGAGAAAACAGTAAAATGGCAGTCAGTCAGCAGATGCCCCATGAGACAGCTGAAATTCAAAGTTTTGTGTCCCTACCAGAAACCAAGCCTGAACCCGAGCCTAAGACTTAGGCCAAGAAGAATCAAGAATTGTAGAAAAGTTCTGTTGATCCAGAATAGCCCAACCAAAATATCCCTGTGGGATTTGGTAGCTCCTAACCTTAAAACAAGCACAGCAGCAATGTCTATAGAGCAATGGCTATGAAGTATATCTACAACCACAAATAAAAGTCTATCTTATTATTTCTACAAGTTCCCCTTATACTAGGAATGATAGAGTAATCAGTTAAGAGTTCCTGGAAGTCACTCTAGACCCCGGCAGGCGCTCTGAAGGTAACTAACCCCAAAGGGCCTCTATTTGCTAATAGGCAATACTAAATGTAATTTAGAAATTAGAAAATACCCCCTTATTCTGACACTCCAAGGACTGTGTATTGTATCGTCTTCTACCCAACTCTTCACCCTAGTTATATAAAATCCCGACAGTGATGTTTCTACTACTCAACTTTATGCCTTCCTTTTAGCCCCAAATCTATCTACCGTGTCTAGATATTTAACACTTTTTGTATAAGAATCCCCAAATCATACCACTTTGTCTCCAGTTTTTCATATTTAGCACCTCCCCAAATCCTTACCCCTCCTTGGATGTGACCATGTAGGCCTTGGGAAGGTCTCATGAGTACAAATAACTCATTTTAACCTGCTTGTTTATTTATTCTTTTTGTCTATCAGGACCATAGAGCCTTCTCCTTTCTCCCACTGATCCCCATTGTGTCCATCACCAACCCTAATTCATTTCTACCAAAATAATGTTTAAGAGTAAAGAACATATCTACATGTTATAGAACAAGTAACTCCTTAAATACGAGCAGAGCCTAATTCATTCCTACCAAAATAATGTTTGATTCTAAGAGTAAAGAACATATCTGCATGTTACAGAACAAATTACTCAGTAAAGATGAGCAGATAATAGGAAAGATTAGATTATTTTATGAATTTTGGGTGTATTTGGTTCACCTAAACTTTGTATCATTTTTTATCATTTTCTACTAAAACATAGCAAAAGCTATGTTTGATGTCTAAATTATAGTCTTATTTAGATTTTTATTTTTATTTCAGAGGCTGAGCACAAGCCTCCATTGGTTATAAGAAGAAACAAGATGACCATACCTGTTGCAGAATATTTCAGCAAACCAAAGTCTCCTCCCAGGCCTAAAACTCAGCAGAGTGCATCAACAAAACCAATGTCAGCAAGGTGTCTCCAAGGATACAATCTCTCTCCCCAAGGAACATTTTCTCCTTTAACTTACCAAAAGTAGAAATTCTAGGCTGGGCTAATTCTTTCACAAACATCAGCTTCATGTTGTTACAGCATCAAATATTTTTTAAATATTTTGGTAACAAGGAATCAATGGCTCCTCTATCTGGCCACATATGTAAATCTCAAAGCACGTGCATATAATGCTACTAAACAAATATTATTGGAGACATGATTTCTATTTCTAATATTAACACCATATGTAAAAAATGTTTATTTATATACTACACTTTTAATCTTGCATTATTAGTATTATTACATAAGTATAGGACCCTGATACTAGAAAAAAGTCATCAATATCAGAATTAAGCAGGTTCTAATTCAACACCTGCTCATAACTCTGAGAATGTTAACATATGAGCCTATTTTCACAATCTATATAGGTGTCACAATATTGTTGGGATATTATGAAAAAGTGCTCACTTCCCTCCAAAGGAAAGCTATAAAAATTATCCCTAACTTATGAGCCAGAAAGGAACTAGTTTCCACTCATTATTGTGAATGGTATTAACAAATTTCCTAATATTGAACATGTTGTATTTTAAAAATAAACCATTCTTGGGCCATGGTTACTATCCATTCAGTGTACTTCTGTATTCTATCTCCCAATTATCCAATTTTTATTTAGAATGTTTGCTTGATATTCAAGAGATACTATAAATTATGTGTTTGTGTGTACATGCAGGTGCAATTTTAATAATTCACATCATACTTACTGTGTTAGAAATCACTCAACACTTTAGATATAGTAACATTTAATTTTCAAAGTAAATATTTGAGGTTGCTACTATTGTTATTGTTTTTTTAAAAATAAAACTGAGAAGCAGAGAGCTCTACTAATTGTGGAGGGATATACAGTTGAAACAAATGTCATTTTTCAAATACAACAGAAGTTTGTATCTCAGCCAAGAGTCCAAAGTGTATGTTTTTAGTCAGCAGATGACTTTGCTTTATTGCCTGATTCAGAGGCCTGAGATCCTTCCATCTTTTGGCTCAACCATCACCTAGGGTTTCACTGTCAACTGCATCCTGCTGTCAAAAGAGGAAAAAGAGAGTGAAGGAAAAGTATTAATTTACTCTAGCTGCTGTAATAAATTACCAGAAACTTAACAGCTTAAACAAACACAAATTTTATCTCTTACAATTATGAAGACAGAGTTCCAAAATGGGTCTCAATGGGCTAAAATCAAAGGGTTGTCAGGGCTACATTCTTTCTGGAAGCTTTAAGGGAGAATATGTTTTGTTTGATTTTTCCAACTTCCAGAGGTAACCCATACTCCATGGCTCATGGTTCCTGTCTACTTTTAGTGCAAGCATTGGCTGGTTGCATCTTTCTTACAACACATTACTTTGAGACTGACTCTTCTGCTACCCTCTTCCTGTAATTACATTGGGCCTGGATGTTATCTAGGTTATCCAATATAATGCTATCTTAAAGTCAAATGATTAACAATTTAATCCCCCATTACTATGTAATATCACAGGCCCCAGGGATTAGAACCTTGGGGCGGGGGCGTCATTATTCTGCCTCCTACAACACGAGCACATACGCTTAAAGTCTTGGCTTTGAAATGGTACACATCACTTCTAATCATATTCTATGATTAAGCAATAGTCCAGCTGAAAGGGCTGATAAAATTCTTAAGTAGCAATCATATTCCAGTACTATATTCTATGAAAAGGGAAATTGAATTTGGTAAAATCTTACCAAAAGTTCTCTCTCCCACACAAACGTTTAATGAGTGGTTCAAAATGTGGCTGGGATATATATGCTTAACCACTAGACACTACTGAAGCACATCAGGACCACTTATGAAATTAATATCAAAGCTTTCTCTCTCTATCTATATTTTTCCTGTTATGGAGAGGTTGTAATAGCATTGCAGATTCCCTTTCCTTTGAAACTTGGTAATATCCACCTGTCAGATCACGTAGCCTTGGACAATTTTATTTCTATGACAACTGGCATGTTTAAATTTTATCTTATTATTTTTTTTTTATTTTTTCAAATATATTTGTCTCTGCTTACCCCCCCACTTTCCCTTGCCTCTTCCCTCCCTCCCCCAACTCTTCCCCTTTGGTTTTGTCCATGAGTCCTTGCTATATGTTCCTTGACTTTCCCCTTCCCTTCCTATTCCTCTGCTCCCTCCTTCCATCTTGTCTCTGTTGGTTTCTTTTCCTTTCAGTGTTGCTGGTCTTATTTTCCTTGCATCTTTGTATTGTTGGTTAGGTTCCACTTATAGGTGAGATCATATGGTATTTGTCTTTTGCCCCCGTTTATTCCACTTAGCATAATGCTCTCGAGTTCCATCCATGCTGTTGCGAAGTTTAGTAGTTCTTTTTTTCTTTCTGCTTCATAGTATTCCATTGTGTAAATGTACCATAGTTTTTTGATCCAATCATCTACTGATGGGCATTTAGGTTGCTTCCAACACTTGGCTATTGTAAATTGTGCTGCTATGAACATTGGGGTGCATAGGTTCTTTTGAATTGGCATTTTGGGATTCTTAGGGTATAGTCCCAGCAGGGGAATCACTGGATCAAAAGGCAGTTCCATTTTCAACTTTTTGAGGAAATTCCACTCTGCTTTCCACAGTGGCTGCACCAGTCTGCATTCCCAACAGTGTACTAGGGTTCCCTTTTCTCCACAGCCTCGCCAGCACCTGTTGTTTCTTGATCTGTATAGGATGGCCATTCTGACCAGTGTGAGGTGGTACCTCATGGTAGTTTTGATCTGCATTTCTCTGATGGCTAGTGATGCTGAGCATCCTTTCAAATGTCTCTGGACCCTCTGTATCTCTTCCTTGGAAAAGTGTCTGCCCAGTCCTTTGCCCATTTTTTGATTGGATTGTTTGTCTTGTTGGAGTGGAGTCGAGTGAGTTCTTTATATATCTTGGAGATCAAACCTCTATCTGATGTATCATTAGCGAATATATTTTCTCATAGGGTTGGCTCCCTTTTCATTATGCTAATGTTTTCTTTTGCTGTGCCGAAGCTTCTTATTTTGATGAGGTCCCACTTGTTTATTCTTTCCTTTATGTCCCTTGCTTTAGGAGACATATCGGTGGCAAAATTGCTGCGTGGGATATCTGAGAGTTTCCTGCCAATGTTCTCCTCTAGGACTTTGATGGTGTTGCGACTTATAGTTAAGTCTTTTATCCATCTTGAGTTTATTTTTGTGTATGGTGTCAGCTGATGATCCAATTTGTTTTTTGCATGTAGCCGTCCAGCTCTCCCAACACCATTTGTTGAAGAAGCTATTATTGCTCCATTTTATGCTTCTGCCCCCTTTGTCAAATATTAGATGCCCATAGAGACCTGGGCTTATTTCTGGGCTTTCTATTCTGTTCCACTGGTCTATGGGTCTGTTCTTGTGCCAGTACCAGATTGTTTTGAGTATAGTGGCTTTGTAGTAGAGTTTGAGGTCTGGTATTGTGATCCCTCCTACTTTGTTTTTCTTTCTCAAAATTGCTGCGGTGATTCGGGGTCGTTTATGGTTCCATATAAATTTTTGAAATATCTGTTCTATTTCTGTGAAATACATCATTGGTATCTTAATAGGGATTGTGTTGAATCTATAAATTGCTTTGGGTAGTATGGACATTTTGATGATATTAATTCTTCCAATCCATGAGCATGGTATATGCTCCCATTTATTTGTGTCTTCCTTAATTTCTTGTTTCAATGTTGTATAGTTTTCTGCATACAGGTCTTTTCCCTCCTTGGTTAAATTTATTCCTTGGTACTTTATTTTTCTTGTTGCTATATCGAATGATTTTTTTTTTTTCTGATTTCTTCTTCTTCTATTTAATTGCAGGTGTACAAAAATACCTTTGACTTCTGAATATTGACTTTCTAGTCTTCTGTTTTGCCAAATTCACTTATTAGGTTGAGTTTTTTGGTAGAGTCTACAGGGTTCTCTATGTACACTATCATGTCATCTGCAAACAATGATAGTTTTACTTCCTCCTTTCCTATTTGGGTGCCTTTTATTTCTTTTTCTTGTCTGACTGCTATGGCTAGGACTTCCAATACCATGTTGAAAGGAAGTGGTGAAAGTGGACATCCTTGTCGTCTTCCCGATCTTAGTGGGTAAGCTTTTAGTTTTTGCCCGTTGAGTATGATGTTGGCTGTAGGTTTTTAATGTATGGCCTTTATTATGTTGAGGAATGCCCCATTTCTTCCCATTTTGCTGAGTGTTTTGATTATAAATGGGTGCTGTACTTTATTGAATGCTTTTTCTGCATCTATCGAGATGATCATGTGGTTTTTGTCTTTTCTTTTATTTATGTGATGTATTATGTTTGTTGACTTGCGTATATTGAACCATCCCTGCATCTCTGGGATGAATCCCACTTGGTCGTAGTGGATAATCTTTTTAATGTATTGCTGGATGAGGCTTGCCAATATTTTGTTGAGGATTTTAGCATCTATGTTCTTCAGCGTAATTGGTCTGTAGTTCTCTTTCTTTTTAGGGTCTTTATCTGATTTTCGGATCAGGGTGATGCTGGCCTCATAGAAAGAGTCTGAGAGTCTTCCCTCCTCTTGGATTTTTTGGAATAGTCTGAGAAGGACAGGGGTTAGCTCTTCCTTAAATGTTTTGTAAAATTCTCCTGTAAAACCGCCGGGCTCTGGGCTTTTGTGTGTCGGGAGTTTCTTGATTACTGCTTCAATTTCCCCAGCTGTTATCGGTCTGTTCAAGCTTTGTTTTTTCCTCCTTCAGTGTTGGAAGATTATACTTTTCTAAAACTTTGTCCATTTCATGAAGATTTTCAAATTTCTTGGCATATAATTGTTCATAGTAGTTTCTGACAATCCTTTGTATTTCTGTGATATCAGTTGTTATTTCTACTCTTTAATTTCTGATATTATTTGGGTCCTCTCCTTTTCTGTCTTGATGAGTCTGCTTAAAGGTTTGTCGATTTTGTTTATCTTTTCAAAGAACCAGCTTCTGGATTGGTTGATCCTTTGACTTGTTCATTTCGTCTCAATGTCATTCAG